CACAAGAGGAGAGCTTGTCCGCGAACTTATCGCGGACAAAGGCTCGACATCCCCAGACTCGGAACACCGACGCATCGCCAACCTCCCCCGTCCAACGCAGGGTAGGCGAGGTCTCCGGAACAGAGACACGGGGCCAGAGGTTGAGCTGATGCGCGGCGTACTGCACTGCAAACGGCCACAGGAAATGGGGGGCAGCCGCATGGATCATGGAGGTACGAGTGACCTCCATGAGAAGACCAATGCGGCGCTCAGCAATCCCATTCTGCTGCGGAGAGGCCGGGAGCGTGAACGACAGGGTGATGCCGTGCTCCGCACAGTAGGCTGCCAAGAGGTCAGAGGAAAACTCGCCACCTCTGTCAGAGTGCAGACGCAGGACTGGAAAGTCCGACTGGAACCTCTGGCGGAGCTGGAGACGAGCAGCGCGGATCTAGGGGATCAAGACATCAGGGACCTAACCCTTGGTACGCAAGGGGAAGACCGTGGTGTAGTGCGTGTAGTCGTCGACGACCAGCAGAAAGTACCGCTCGTGGCCCTGTCCCCGGACGCGGGCGGGGCCCCACACGTCCAGGTGGAGAGTCTGCAGGGGAGCCTCTGTGGGAGGGAACGAGGAGTGAGGAGCGGCGCCCTGCCGCCCCTCGACACAGGGAAGACAGGGAGGAGCAGGCGAGGGTGGGATGGGAGGGAGAACCCTGGGAAGACCAGAGACAAGGTACCTGGAGTGCATGCCGCGAAGGCGCTGCACTGACGGGTGACCAAGGCGGTGGTGCCAGAAGACAGTCCTGTGAGACAGGGAGCGACACAAGCAGGGGGCAGACAGCTGACCTTATGCAGACGCAGACGCAGCTACCTGAGGAGACTCAGTGGTCAGTGTGTACAAGTCCGACCCCGGCTGCCGAGTGAAGGTAGCGAGGTGACGTCCCGTCCGAGCACACGTGCAGTGCGTCACACGCTCGTAGGCCGGGGTGAACTGGTGAACACCCGCGTCCTGGAGTGCGGAACTCGCCACCAAGTTCGTACAGAACGAAGGGAGGTAGAGGCCTGACAGCGTGCCAAACGGAACAACAGGACAAGGGAGAGCAGTGGTGGAGGTCGCAAGGGCCGGACCCCTGAGGGGTCAGCCAGAGAGACAGCCACCGTTCGAGGAAGCTGCTCTAGGGCAGTGCGGTCACGAAAGAAACAGCGGGAAGCACCTGAGTCTAGTGTGAAGGTGTGTAGTGCCTCAGTAGGTGCGGTGCAAGCAGACGCAGACGCACTAGCACCTAGGGCAGCAGCCTCACTAGGACCTAGAGCAGCAGACGCGCTAGCACCTAGAGCTGCAGCCTCACTGGTCCCAATGCCCGGGTCAGGCGGAACACTCAGGTAACAGTCACCCTCAGCACTAATAGTCAATGCATACCTAGCAGCAAGAATAGCATCATAATCAAGAGCAAAGATATCAATCCCCTTCTTAAGCAGATCTGCCCAGCGGGGCAGCTCAGAGGCGTCACGAAACTGCTCGCGCCAGGCGTCGTCGAGACGAAAGAAACAGCGCTGCGCAGTGTGAAACCTCCCACAAGTCTGGCCAGTGCGGTCACCTGTGCGGATGACATACGAGCAGGTACCCCTTCCCCCAGACCCCCCACGCTGAGAGTACCACTCACGGAGCTGCTAGGGCGAGGGAGCCTCGCCGGGGCGCTGCTGTTGCTGCCTCTGGCTACCGCCAAACCCCCCACGCTGTACCGCTCCACCGCGCCCGCCACCCGCTCCACCGCCGCCACCACTGCCAGCACCACCGCCACCACCCCCACCACCGTCGCCGCTGCCACCACCCCCAGTGCCACCACTGACCCCCCCCCCACCACCCGCGCCACTCCCACTCCCGCCACCACCCCCGCCCCCCCCACCTCCTCCACCGTCGCCGCCCCCGCCCCCACCACCCCTGCCTCCCTTGCCCTTGCCGTTCTTGCGTCTCCCACTAGGAGCAGACGCGGCTCCGACCCTCTCAGCTCCGAGGAAGTCGACAGCAGCAGCAGATGCAATGGAGGGGAGGAGGGGGGAGGGGGAGCACCCCTCAAAGAAGGGGGTACGGGGGTCACCACGAGAGGCACCTACGGCGACAATGCTCTTCTCAGCTGCTAGGAGCTCCTTCTCGAGGAGGTCGACAGTGAGGTCAGTGGGGGAGAGGGCGAGAAACTGGTCCCTGACAGTGCGAAGGGATTCAGGGAGGCGGGTGACAAGGTGGTACAGTGTGAGGTACATCGGGGGGGGGGTTCTTGGCGAGGAAATTGGGGGGGAGCGCTGCACGGTAGCGGAGGTCACTGGTACGGAGGTGGGTGATGAGGTCAGCTACAGTGGCAAAGGCGGACAGGTCTGGGAAGAGGTAGGGCAGTGAGAGACGGCCTATGGCAGCTGTGGCAGGTGAGGAGTAGCGCGCGACTACTGCGTCGTACAGCTCCTTGGCGGTCTTATGCTGTCCGAAGTGCTCGCGCTCATCTAACGGTAGGTGACTGCGAACGGCTAGGCGAGCGTGTGCATCACGGGTCTGCCACTGGGAGCGCGCAGTGCTGTCAGCAGTAGCGGGAGGTGCGGGAGCAGCGCCTGACGTATGGTCATACAGTGAGACATCGTCTTTGGCAGTGATCTGAAGGAACAAGTGAAGATCATCTAGCCAAACCTCAAACTTAATCGGGCGACCCTCAGCGTCAAAGGTGAGAATGGATGGGGTGGCCATTGTGGCAGTAGGAACAGTAGCAGTAGTAGCAGTAGTACAGTAGGAACAGGAACATGAGTTGCTGCAGGTGGGGCACAGTAGGGCGGCGCGGCTCGGCTTGGGCGGTGCGGCTCGGTTCGGGCGGCGCGGCTCGGTTCGGGTGGCGCGGCTCGGTTCGGGCAGCGCGGCTCAGTTCGGGCGGCGCGGCTCGGTTCGGGCGGCGCGGCTCGGTTCGGGCGGCGTGGCCCGGCTCGGGCTGTGCGGCTCGGCTCGGTCTGGGCTACGCGGCGGCGCGCACCTAGGGGATGTGCGCGTGGGTGGCTGTAGCGGGCAGGCCGGGGCCGCTCGTGAGTGGCCTAGGGAGGGCGTCGCGGCGGCCTACGGGTGGCTCACGGGCGGCGCGCGGCTAGGGGGGGGGGGGCGGTCGACGGGCTGCTCGTGGCAGCGTGGGCGGCTAATGGGCGGCGCGCGCTCAAGAACGGCCGCGCGCGGGCTGCTAGGAGGCGACGCGCGGGAAAAAAAAAGGCCGCGCGCGGCACTAGCGAGCCGCGCACAGGCAGGAGGAGAGGACGAGGCGCACGAGGGCGCACTAGGGGAACGGCGCTCGAGGGCGCTAGGACGATGGGGCGCTCAAGGGCGCTTCTAACGGTGGGCCCTTAGGTGAGGCCTAGGTCTAGAACCTAAGCTCTGCTACCATGTCAGAATGAGAAGTGTATGAACTATGAAAAGATGGAGTACAAGTAGTGAACCCTAGTTTTGTGTACCCCCTAAAGGCTAACCCACTATAGCCTACACAACAACAACACATATAGTGTTTGACAAAATGTGCCCCCACCGACCATACTCTTCCACGAAATGCACGACCGAGCAGCGAGGAGATGGCGTGGCGGAACGACCACCACTAGGGTGGAATGCAATTTATTTTGGCGATTGGACAATGTCGGTATCAAGGGTAGGGATGTTTTTGCAAAATACCCGAGAAATGGGGTTCACTGACTATTTTTTGGATTAAAAACTGACACGGGTCCCGAAGGTATTTTCAATTGGTCAAAGCATCAATTTTGGTTAAATAGATCCGGGGGAAGCGCCAGAGGTTTCAGGGTAGTTTTCCATCTTAGCCCAAAGACTCCCATCCCATCCACTTGTGGCTGGTCTTGTGGACTTCACGCGTGTGCTCTTTTAGGGCGCGTAACCATTTTGCATTTTACGATTTTGATGGACAGTCCGCTTAAAACGAAGTGGACGGTCCACCTATCGAGAACGGGACCGTCCGACTGACTTTTTTGCAACTTCGGACTGTCCGAAGACAGTTGTGACACTTTTTTCATAATGTACAGTTTCGCGATCACTGTACAAGCGTTACGCAATTCTCTCAAGGTCGCAAAAGTCGTTATCGAATCATTTTTGTTTATGGGTTGTCTCTGGTTGGTCAATGTCGATTCGTGAAGTAGCCTCGTGCGTTTTTGTTGGTGGACGAGGTGACTCGACAGTTTTTGCGTCGCCCTCCAATCGTGTGCAAGGACTGTCAGACAGTCCGTTTGGGATTCGGACCGTCCACGGTTCAGATTTCGGACCGTTAAGTGGGAAAAAGTGTCACTACAGTCCGTTTTGTTGGCGATGTCGCCAACACCTCAGCGAACAGGATTACGACATTGTGCGAAGCTTGTTACCGTTTTGCTACCCGGACGGTCCACGGCTCGAACCGTCGGGTGCAAAATGGTTACGCGCCCTTATCCCTCCTCCCCATCCATCAGCGTGCACACTCCAATCTCCAATTCTTCCGATGGAAGACATTGCATTGTGTTGTGTTGCTTCTTGCTAAGCTTAGAACGTCATGTAGCTTTGAGAGGGAATGCACTTCATGCTCCACTCGTTTTAAAAACGCTACCCACAGCAAATAGGTCGACATTTTGACGCAATGATAATAATCCATGGGCGTTAGTTATCGTAGCGAATGCTCGAGTGGCGACATCTGGTTCGAGAGGTCAAGCAGGCGAAATTTGCGAGACGCCAGCATCAGCGTATTTATGTTAAATATTATTCATGAAGAGCCCGACCAAATTCAGTCGGTAATATAGATTATTTCAGTATAACCGCGCTACTGCCAATAGCATTCTTTCCGCCGCAATTTCCGCGAGCCGCGCTGCGTGACAGCGCCTGGAGCCAGGCGGCGAAGCATCATGGCTAGTAACGGTGTCGCTGCTGGTGAGTCCAATGGCTAAGTATGTTTGGGCGAGTCCGCGTTGAGGCGTTCACATGCCGTCAAAGGCGGCGGCCTGTCGAGCTACGGTGGTTGTCAGCTCACTGCCGCATGATCGACGCATTTTACGCGTGTTTTTCCCCTCTCAGACCTCTCCTGCATGCCCCACTTTCGCGCGGCTGTCTAAAGTTCCCGTGCCCAGGTGGGAACGCGTCGGCAAAATTCGCAGGTGGTTCAGGTTCAACTCAAAGTTTGTTCGCCGCCCGTCGCGACACCTCGCTGCGATTCGACCTCGTTCGCACAGATGTCGCGACGCAGTGCACCACCAACATTCACTCGCAGAGGTCGCGCCCTCAGCGTTGCTTCTGGATCAACTCATATGGCTATCGCCTAATTTCCCTCGTTTTCCGCTCTCCTCTCCCCCATCCTCTCCTCCCTCCTCTTCCCCCTCTCCCCGTTTCGCTCAATCAACCTCCCTTCCCCCCATCTCCCTCCCTCCAGCCAGCCCCTCCGTTGGTCACGAGTGGCAGGCGGAAGCTGACGTGGAAGTGACAATCGCGGAGGGTGACACAGCAGTGGGCGTTAAGGCAGCAGACAAGGCAGTAGAAAGGGCAGCGGACAGCGCAGCAGCACAGGATGGCAAGACGCAACAAAGGGAGAAAATGCTGCAGGGATTTGCGGAAAAAGACTCAAGCCGGTCGTCCTGGCGTGGATGTGCTGATGTGGCGGGTGGGCGCGGGGGAGTGGGGCGGATGGCGCGGGGGGAGCGGCAGCGCGTGGTGGAGGCGGCGCTGGAGACGACTGAGCAGGACAACGAGGCTGTGATGGGGAAGATCCGCGCCCGCCTGGAGAGGTGCGTGAGTCGGATGGGGCAAGGTGAACGGAGAATGTATGGAGTTCTGTGCACGTGACAGGGGTGGTGGAGGCGGCACTGGAGACGACTGAGCAGGACAACGAGGCTGTGATGGGGAAGATCCGCGCCCGCCTGGAGAGGTGCGTGAGTCGGATGGGGCAAGGTGAACGGAGAATGTATGGAGTTCTGTGCACGTGACAGGGGTGGTGGAGGCGGCACTGGAGACGACTGAGCAGGACAACGACGCGGTGACGGGGAAGATGTGGGCCCGCCTGGAGAGGTGCGTGGGGGAGGAACAGGGGCGTGGGGTTGGGGAGGGTTCGCATGACAGGGAGGCACAGGCGCTGGGGCTGAGTGAGCAGGGCAAGGAGGCGGTGATGGGGAAGATTCGCGTGCAGCTGGAGATGTGAGTGGGATGGGGCAAGGCGGTCAGGTAGTGCGTGCGTTTTGGGAGGGTGCACTTGACAGGGGTGGATTTTGAGGCGCCTGAAATCGGGAAGGTGCACCTGACAGCGGGGAAGGAGGCAGATGCGCTGGGGACGACTGAGCAGGACAGCGAGGCAGTGATGGGGAAGATTCGCGCCCGCCTGGAATGGTGCGTGGGGTAGGAGGTGCACGGGGGACTGTGTGTGTGTTGGGCAAACAAAGGAGCAGGTGCATGGGATGGTGCAGTGCAGGGAACGGAAAGGCGCGTGAGATGGGGCAAGGCAGTCAGTGCACGGAATGCAACCAACACTTCCCCTGTTCCATGAAGCTTATAGAGCAGTCTTTTCCTGCATGACTTGTCGTATAGCCGTGTGCATGCTTTGCTGCATGTATGCCCGGCTGCACATACACATGCCATACATGCACACATACACATGCGTGCATGCCCACATACACTGCGTGCGTACACATACACATACACATACACATGCACATGCACATGCATGTATGCACACATGACAGGGTGGGTCTGGAGCCACCAACAGTGGAGATTAGATTTGAAGACGTGAGCGCGGAAGCAAGGGTGTATGTGGGGAAGAGAGGCCTCCCCACCCTCCCTAACTTCACACTCAATATGATCACAGTAAGTCACGCAATAAGATGACAGCCTCTTGAAATACGTCTCAGCCCCCCTCATTTCCTGTCAATTTGGGATCTTTTATAAGTCTCGCCAAGCAACCTTCTTTTCCTTCTTGTTTCATCAGCATAGACCCTTGGCTCGCACCCCTCGTTCAGTGGCACCGCTCTGACCACCTGTGGTGTGGATACGCTTCCTCTTTCTCCCTCTCGCTCCTTCCCCAACCAACCCGCCTTCTTCCCACGCGCTCCCACCTCCCAGTCAATGCTGCGCAGCATGCGTCTGCTGCCAGACAAGAGGCGTCGTTTCCCCATCCTCCACGGCTGCAGTGGCGCGCTTAAGCCGGGCAGGTGAGGGTTTAATTTGGGGAGGTGGGGTTTAGTTTGGGCAGGTGGGGGTTTAATTTGGGCAGGTGGGGGTAAAGCCAGGCAGGTGGGGTTTTAAGTTGGGAAGGTAGGGGTTTGAGCCAGGCAGGTGAGGGTTTAAGCCGAGCAGGTGGGGGTTTGTGGGGGCAGGGGGGGGTTAAGCTGGACAGGTGTGAGGGTTTAAGCCAGACAGATGAGGCAGGAAGGTGGGGGTTTAAGCCACGGGTTTTAGTAAGACAGGTGAGGATTCAATACAGGCAGGTGCGGGTTTCAAGCCAGGCAGTTGGTGGTGAGGTGCATTTGATATCCTTTTGCTTTCAGATCTTGTCCTAAGGTGCCCCTCTAAACCTCTCATTTCATCCCCACTTCCGACTTTCCCTCCACCCGGTCCGCTGCACACATGCATTGTTGTGCTCATCTTGCTCCTTCCACTTCCACAATTTTCTGAGTAAAATGTTTTTTTTTTTTTTTTTCATTATTATTCTAAGAAAGCATTCTGACCTCCCCTGCTCCTGGCTCCACTCCCTCCTCCCGCTCCTACCAGCCTGCCTCCCCCAGCCGCTCCTATCCCCCACCCACCCACCCACCCCCACCCCCTCCCCCTCTTCCCCCTTCCCTTTTCACAGAATGACGCTTTTCTTGGGCTCTCCTGGCGCTGGGAACACCACATGGATTTTCAGAGATTGCAAAAAGCATTTTCACTTTCCTACTCCTGGCTCTTGGCTGCCCCCCCCCCCCCCCTTCCCCCCCCCTCCCCCTTGCTCTCCCCCCTCTCCTTTTCACAGAATGACGCTTCTCCTGGGCTCTCCTGGCGCGGGGAAGACCACCCTCATGACCGCCCTAGCAGGCCACCTGGATAGACACCTGAAGGTATGGCGGCCATCTGGACAGACACCTGAAGGTACGGTGGGCACCTGGACAGACACCTGAAAGGTATGGGGGCCACCTGGACAGACACCTGGAGGTATGGTGGGCACCTGGACAGACATCTCAAGGTATGGCGGTTACCTGGACAGGAACCTGACCGACTGAATGTGTGCCTGCTTGCTAACACCCCACCCGTGTGGTCTTCAGTTGACTGCGAGGCCTGACCTTGGCATGACAGACACAGTGTTTGAAAGAAATCCAAACCCGTCTGCCCTCCAAGGACCTCGTTTAAGCATGCTATTGCAAGGCACTGCCACGTGCGTGTGCTGCTCTGCTCATTGCGCTCCCTCTTGCCTTTTCCCTCTTGCCCCCTGCTTTTCCCTCTCTGCAGCTCACTGGCTCCATCACGTACAACGGGCAGCAGCTGAAAGATTTCAACCCTGCCCGGACGGCATCCTATGTGCCGGAGTGTGACGAGCACATAGGCGAGATGACCGTGAGGGAGACAATGGACTTTTCCGCGCAGCTGCAAGGGAGGGGACCCTTCCGAGGTGAGATGACATGACAGCTGTGCTGTGCCCTAGGGATGATCATGAGGGCGGGCCAGGGCCCGCCCGGGTCGGGCCCGCCTGGAAATTCCCCGGGCCGGGCTTCGAAATTTCGTCGAGGGCCCGGGGCGGGCCGGGCCGCCGCGACTGCCCGCTTTTGGCCCGCCCATGTACGGGCCGGGCCGGGCCGTGCCAAGCCTATGCGCGGCCCGGGTCGGGCCATCTCGGCCCGGTTTTTATCCCCGCAACAATTTGTCGCGGGGGTCAAAATGTTAGCTGCACTGCATTTGTGCAGTTCGATTTCTGTGACTGGGGTCTTTTAAACTTGCAAACAATGCTTAAACCTTGGTAGGAAACCCCATTTTCTTACTCTTAACCTACGCTGTCTATAAATTATCTCTGCAGCAGGGCCGGGCCTGCCCGGCCCGGGTCGGGCTATATGAAGCCCGGGTCGGGCCGGGCTCGGCCCGCCCGCCTTAAGGGCGGGCTCGGGCCGAATGTTTCCCTAAACTGCCCGGGTCGGGCCGGGCCAGCCCGGCCCGGTTTTTTCCGCCGCCCGGGGTGGGCCCGACCCGGGCCGGGCCCGGCCCGCCCGGTGCTCAACCCTACTGTGCCCCTTGGGCCAACTCAGAGTCAGAAGTCACTATGGTGTTGGGGATGCCCCCACATAGGCGAGATGACCGTGAGGGAGACAATGGACTTTTCCGCGCAGCTGCAAGGGAGGGGGCTGGTGTTGGGGATGCCCCAACTTGAGATGGAGCTCTCATGCTCAGGGGGAGGGTGGGCCGGCGGGTTTCAGAAAAAGCAGGATGAGGGTTTTGCGGGGATGAGGGCAATTGGGGGGTGAGGGCATCTGGGGATGGTGGCAATCAGGGGGTGATGACAAGAAGACTGCGTGGTTGATGTGATGTGTTATGAATCACACATGCTGCCCAGAACGATTTTACTGCGATGTTGAGAGTAGTTGAATTATTTGTGCTCTAATAGATGGAATATTTAGGGTATTTGAGCTAAGCAAATTTCCTCAATGTGCTGGTTTGTGCAGCCATTCTAATTGTCTCTCGACTCTCATTCAGTCGTGTGTGTGCGTGCTCGTGTGTGTGTGTGTGTGTGTGTGTGTGTGTGTGTGTGTGTGTGTGTGTATGTGCGTGTGTGAGTGTGTGTGTGGGGGTGGGTGCATGTGTGTGTGTGCGCGCGCGCAAAAGCTTGCGCGCACGCGTATGTGAGTGTGTGTGTGTGTGTGCGCGCGCGTGTGTGTGTGCGTGTGTGCACGCACGAAAGCGTGCGTGCACGCGTATGTGTGTGTATGTGCGTGTGTGTGTGTGTGTGTGTGTGTGTGTGTGTGTGTGTGTGTGCATGCACGCATATGTGTGTGTGTGAGTGTAGTGCTGGTGGAGGAGTTGGAGAGGAGGGAGAAGGAGATGGGAGTGGAGCCGGATGCAACAACAGCACTGCTCATGAAGGTCAGTCAATGCTGGTCAATGGTGGGTCAACGCTGGTCTAAGGGTGAGCCAACGCAGGTCAATGGTAAGTCATCGCAGGTCAATGGTGAGTCAACGCCGGTCAAGGGTGAGTCAGGTTGGTCTAAGGCGAGTCATCGGCTGGTCAAGAGCGCGACAGTGTTGGTCAAAGCGAGTCAAATCTGATGAAGGTAAGTCAATTCTGAGTCAATGCCGACGACCCCTCTACCATTGATTGCCTCATTTTTCTCCCCTCTCCTCTCCCCCTCCCCCCTCTCCCGTCTCCTCGCCCCTCTCTCATCTCTTCTCTCTCCTCTCGCATCACATCACCGCCAGGCCATGGCAGTGGAGGCCAATCCGTCCAATATGGTCACCAACTACGTGCTCCAGGTGTGCTATCAGCCTATCACTCTCACACACGGGTGTGACTCTAGCAGGTGTGACTTAAGCAGGTGTGACTTAGCAGGTGTGACTTAGCAGGTGTGATGTGAACAGCTGTGACCAAACAGGTGTGTCTCAAGCAGGTGTGACTTACGCCCACCTTGTAAAGACGTGTTGCAAGGGTGACTGTTCTGGTTCCTACATGAAACTATATCCACCACCACCAGACATGCCTGTGTTTGTGTTACATTGTTCTTCAAGCAACACATGCTTGTGAATCACTCTGCATTTTCAAACATTTCCAAGAAATTCCCCCTTGTGCTCTCATTTCCCTTCATGTATTCCCATTTCCACTGGTCCCTGGAACAAACCTAACCTGCCTGGTCGGCAGCTCCTGGGGCGACACGGTGGGGGGCAACGCTCTCGTGAGCGGTAGTTGAGGCACCTCAAAAGCCCTTGTTGTTTCCGTGCCCCTCTCCCGTGCCCCCCAGCAAACCTAACATGTCTGCTCGGCAGCTGCAGGGGCTGCATTTGAGGCGCCTCAAAAGCTGGGCATCTGTGCGGACAGATGGTGAGCAACGCCCCCGTGCATCGCTTTTGAGGCACTTCAAAAGCCCCCTCGATCCGTGCCCCCCTGTCCCCATGCCCCCTGTCCCCATGCCCCCTGTCCCCATGCCCCCTGCCCCCATGCCCCTGCCTATCCCAATGTCCCCGAACTTGCTCCGCAGCTGTTGGGGCTGGGCATCTGTGCGGACACGGTGGTGGGCAACGCTCTCGTGCGCGGCATCTCGGGCGGCCAGAAGAAACGCCTCACCACAGGTGGGTCGATAGGGGTCACATTTGCATCACCACAGGTGGGTGGGAGGCAGAAAAAGCGATGCCACAGGTGTTTGGGGGCCAGTAGAAGTGGCTCGCCAGAGTTGTGTGGGGAGCACAAGTACTGCTGATAGGCATGCAGCATGCAGCCGGTGGCGCTGATGAGTGCGACAAGCACGATCAGCATACAGCCTTTTTCCCTTCCCATTGCTGATCTACTTTCTCACTCAAACCCCTCACCCCTCTCCCCAATCCTTCTCTCCCTCACTGACTCTATCTGTCAGGGAAGGAAGGAGATGGTGTGCAGGTGCGGTGCGCCTACTGGACGAGATCAGCACGGGACTCAACTTCTCCACCACCTTCCTATCTCCTTCCACTCATCCTTCTTATCTCCCTCCCAACACTCGAATCCTATAATACAACCCCTAAACCCTATCAGGCGAGGAACTAGTGGGTATGTGGCAGGTTCTCCCACTGGACGAGATCAGCACAGGCCTCGATGCCTCCACCACCTTCCACCTTCCGCATCTCCCTCCCACTCATCCCTCTTTCTCCCTGCCTTAACTCTAAACCCTGAATTCAAAACGCCAAACCTTGTCAGGCGAGGGTTTAGTGGGCATGCGGCAGGTGCTTCTGATGGACGAGATCAGCACGGGCCTTGACCCCTCCACCACCTTCCGCATAGCTATTTCCCTCCCTAAACCCCAGATCCGAAACCCAAACCTTCCCAGGCGAGGAGCTGGTGAGTATGCGGCAAGTGCTCCAGATTGCGAGATAAGCAGTGGAGCCTGAGATAACCTTCTCGACACTCCTCCACTACCTTCCCCTTCTCCCCAACCTCTCATCCCTATCTCCCTCTCCAATCTCAAAACCTTGAACCCTATCAGGGGAGGAGCTGGTGGGCATGCGGCAAGTGCTGCTGATGGACGAGATCAGCACGGGTCTCGACTCCTCCACCACCTTCCTCATTGCCCGCTGCCTGCGCCATCTCACCCACTCACTCTGCACCACCACGCTCATCGCGCTGCTGCAGCCCGCCCCCGAGACCTTTGCACTCTTTGACGACGTGCTGCTGCTGGCGGAGGGGCACGTGGTGTATCACGGGCCCCGGGAGGGCGTCATGGGGCTGTTCCGCTCCCTGGGGTTTGATTGCCCTCCTAGGAAAGGAATCGCAGATTTCCTGCTGGAGGTGAGAGAGGGGTACTGGGGTCGGTGGGGGAGGGGGGCGGGGGTTTGGATGAGGCTTGATGTGCTGCTTTCCATGGCTTTTGGCGCATCATGGGCCCAGGGAGGGCGTTATGGGGCTGTTCTAGTTGCTGGGGTTTGACTGCCCTCTAAGAAAAGGAGTGGCAAAATTTCTACTGGAGGTAAGTGGGGTTGGGTTAGGGGAGTCTGGATGGTGTGGTTGAGGATTTTGTTTTTGTGGATAGCACGAGTGGCGAGGAGAGGAGGCCGCAGCAGTGTCCCAGCGGAGGGGTCAAAGTTGCACGCATTGCCTTCCCCGTCTCTTCTCTCTTGCTCCCTGTTCTCTCTGTTCTCTCAGGTGACTTCAGCCAAGGACCAGGCACAGTATTGGGTGGATAAGTCGCAGCCTCACGAGTTCATGGCAGCGGGGGACATGGCTGCTGCCTTCCGCCACTCCACACTCGGCAAGCAGCGACAGGCAGAGCTGGCAGTGAGTGTTAGAAACGCCAGATTCTGTGTATTTCCAACAGTCAGTGCAGCAGAGACATGCAGAGCTGGTGTTAGGGTGTGCGGTATCGTATCGACCATTTAAACATCACCATTTATTGGTGCCCCGTGTCTTCTTCCCGTTCCAGACTTCTAGCTTCCTTTCCATTATTCACACTAATCCTTCCCGCTTCCTTTTTCCACTGTTCTTCCATTCTTCTCCCTTTCTTACCTCTTCTTCCTTGTTCTCTCCAGACCCCCTTCCAGCCAACAGAGTCGTCCACGTCAGCACTGGAAACGGCCCCCTACGCTCTCTCGCCCACTCAGATGCTGACAGCTGTCTTTGCCCGGGAATGGCTACTGATGCGGCGCAACGCGCTGCTCTACATGGCCCTCATCATGCAGGTGTGTGTGGCACGATGTATGGATGCCGTGTGGATGTATGGATGCCGTGTGGATGTATGGATGCCGTGTGTATGTATGGATGCCGTGTGGATGTATGACACATGTAGCATGCGCGCAGCTGTCACATCACATACATGGATTGCGTCATGCACGTGTGTACGGGGAAGGATCACTTCTTTCACCACCACCCAGCCCTCCTCTCCCTCCTCAATCATCAACTGCCTTTCTACTCTGACAGCTGCACCCCTTTCCATCCTTCCACCCCTCTCCACCCCTTTCCACCCCTCTCCACCCCTCTCCTCCCCTCTCCACCCTTCTTCACCGCTCTCCATCAGGTGATATTCACGAGCCTGATGTCGTCGACAGTGTTCCTGTACACGCAGAGGGCCATAACAGCCAAGGACGGCAACATCTACCTGGGAGTGCTCTTCCTGGGCATCACCATGATGCTCTTCAACGCCTTCTTTGAGCTCCTCCTCTTCACGCTCCGCCTTCCAATATTCTTCAAGCAGAGGAACACGCGTCTGTACCCGGCGTGGGCCTGGGTGCTGCCCATGGCTGTGCTGTCGCTGCCGCTGTCGGCCGTGGTGGCGGCGCTGTGGACGGCTGGCACGTACTTTCTTGTTGGGTTTGCTCCGGAAGCTGGCAGGTGCGGATGGGTGGATGGGTGGATGGGCGGATGGGTGGATGAGAACATGGGTGGATGGGGTTGAAAGCGGGAGGGAGTCATAAGAGAGTCGAAGGAGTATCCTTCAATCGACTTAAAAGCCACTCTTCCTTCCAATCCCCTTTCCCCACCCAAACCCCTCCCCACCACCTCAGGTTCTTCATCAGCTCCTCATACTCTTCCTCATCCACTACGCCGCCCAGAGTGGCTCTCTTCCGCCTCCTCTTTGCGCCGACTAAAAAGCCATACCTCCTTCCATCCGCCCTGGTTTTCTTTTCCCACCCCCAGGTTCTTCATACAGCTGCTCATATTCTTCCTCATCCACCAGACGGGAGTGGCTCTCTTTCGCCTGCTGGGGGCGGTGGGTCGCAACCTCGTGGTCTCCATCACCCTCGGCAACTTTGCCTTCATCATCCTCTTCCTCCTCGGCGGCTTCATTGTCTCCAAAGGTGCCCCATGCCGTGTTGCTTCTTGCTGCTCCTACTGCCTCTTGCTAAAGCTTCATCTCATCTCTTGAATCATCTGCTCATGTCTCTCGGATTGATCACCCTTCAGTCACCACCACGCCCTTTTGTTTGGGAATCGTTTTTGAGAGTTCTCAAAGTTGGTTCTCAAAAGTGAATCGCTCTTGAGAAAGTATTCTGACCATTTTGCTCAAAAGTAGTCTCTTCCTACCCATCGCCTGGATGAGTTACCCATCAGTCACTCACTTGCACTCATCTGGGCCTACTGGATGTAGCCATCACCTACATGCAAGCATCAATTGACTCACCCCCTCTCGTCCATCACTCCTGCCGTGCCCCGTTGTCTACCCTCTTCTACTTCCCACCCACCCACGCCCCCCTCTCCAGCCATGGTTCATCTGGGCCTACTGGATGTGTCAATTGATACACATGCATCAACTGACACACATGCATCAATCGACACACATGCATCAATTGACACACATGCATCAATTGACACACATGCATCAATTGACACACATGCATCAACTGACACACATGCATCAATTGACACACATGCATCAATTGACACACATGCATCAATTGACACACATGCATCAATTGACTCACCCCCTCCCTTCCCATCTCTCCCCCCCGTCACCCCCCCCCTCAACAGACGACATCCAGCCGTGGTTCATCTGGGCCTACTGGATGTCGCCCATCACCTACACGCAGAACGCCCTCTCAGTCAACGAGCTCCTCGCACCCAGGTGGCAGAAGGTGAGGGGCGTGCCAGGTGGCAGAAGGGGAGGGGCGTGCCAGGTGGCAGAAGGGGAGGGGCGTGCCAGGTGGCAGAAGGTGAGGGGCGTGCCAGGTGGCAGAAGGGGAGGGGCGTGCCAGGTGGCAGAAGGTGAGTGGTGTGCCAGGCGGAGGGGAAGTGAGGGGGCTCCCAACGGGGTGTGGATCGGTGTGGTGGCTCTAATTGGCTGCTCTCTTTCCCCTCCCCCTTCCTCTCCCCCCTCCCCCTGTCCCTTTCCCCTTCCCCCTTCCCCCTTCCCCTCCCCCTCTCCCCACAGTCCACAGCACCGCTAATTCCCAACTCCACGGTGGGCCTGGTGGTGTTGGAGGGGAGGGGCCTCCCCACGGAGAGCAAGTGGGTGTTGATCGGCGTGCTGGCGCTCATCGGCTTCACTCTCCTCCTCAACGCCCTCGTTGTCGTTGCCCTCTCCGTCCTCCACCGTCAGTGCTGCTGCATACATGCCCTATTGCTGCTCTTGCTTGTCGCCCCAATGCGCGCTCCATACTCCACTCTCAGTGCTGCTGCTGCATGCCCCACTGCTGCTTTTTATTGTTGCCCCATGCCCCTCCACCCTCCACTGCTTTGTTTCTTAAAATCCTCACTGGATTCTCCTCCTTCAAAACCTGCTCCACCTTGTCAAAGTTTGATACTGACTCTTTTGAAAACCTTCCCCCTTTTCCTCTCCATTCCCTCTCTTCACTTCAGAACTCCCTGTTCCCTCCCCACAACCCATGTTCACTGCTCTTCCTTCTCCACCCAGCCCACCAACTCCCGCATAACTCCTACCCCTCTCATCAACCCCATACATACCATGCCACGTCATCATCCCACATCAGCATGGGCCAAGGACCAGCCAGTAACAGAAGAACAGCTGGACGCCAGAATAGAGGCAGCAGTGGGTCTCACAGCTGCCACAGCCACCAGCAGGCGCCTCTCGAAGCACTACAGCACTGGCAGCCGGCGCAATTCAGAGAGTCATGGCAGGGGGGGGGGCATGGATGGGGATGCGATGCCGATCAGCATCAGCATCAGCATCACGCGCAGCCAGTCGGGGCAAAGCGCCCGCTCTGTTGGGTCGCGCAGTGGTGGCGCCCTCGAACGGTACTGTGAGCGAGGTGAGAGAGAGTTGAGAGTGGTGCAGTGAGGTGAGAGAGGGGTGAGAGCAGTGCAGCGAGGTGAGAGTGGAGAGAGGAGAGATAGATGAGAGAGAGTTGAGAGCGGTACTGCGAGTGAGGTGGGAGCTGTGAGAGAGGTGAGAGCGGTGAGAGAGAGTTGAGAGCGGTGAGAGGGAGTTGAGAGCGGTGAGAAGAGAGGTGAGAGTGATAAGAGAGAGGGCAGATTGGTACTGTGTGTGAGCGAGGTGAGAGCGGGCTGACAGAGAGAGGCAATATAAAGAGGAGATAAAGGTGAGTTATTGGTGAGAGAAGATAACAACAAAGGAGGGATGGTGTGAGGGCGGTTAAAAACTGGAAAGACTTTTGAGGCGCAGCAAAAGGTGCATCGAAATTCTTTCCTTTACCAGCTCAGTGTGTATAGGTCAATATGACACCAAGCGAGCACCTTCCAGTTCTACCATTCCCTCACCACCGCTCCGCACCAATCCTTACCAATCCTCATCACACCCGTGTAGCCATCCACCCCCGCATCTCTCTGTTACTGGCTGGTCCTTAGTTCACTTGATGGTTCGCACTGTAGTAGAGGTAAGAGAGAAGTCAGTGAGAGACTCTGTAGAAACGTGAGCGGGAGATGAAAGAGAGCTGCGACAGTGTGAGGAGGAAGTTTGAACTAGAAGTACCTGGTCTGGATGGTTGAGAGGTTGGACAGAATGATCAGAACGACAGGGATAACCTTTCTCCCTCTTTGCCCTCCATGTCTCTCCTTTCTCCCTCTCCCCCACCTCGTCTGCACTGCAGTCTCATCGTCTCACTCCATGGGACACACAATCGAGCCCTCCCTGTCCCAGGACCTCTCTGTGCCGCCCACCACCACTCGCGGCATGGTGCTCCCCTTCCTCCCCCTCCCCGTCGCCTTCCACAACGTGTGCTACTGGGTCGACATGCCGCCCGCCATGCGCTCCCATGCTGCCCACGCCGCCGGCAACTCTGCCACCCGCCTGCAGCTGCTGAGAAACGTCTCGGGGGCGTTCCGGCCGAAAGTGCTCACCGCGCTGGTGGGGGTGACAGGCGCGGGGAAAACAACCCTCATGGATGTGCTAGCAGGGAGGAAGACCGGGGGGTATATAGAGGGAGATGTGATGGTGGCTGGGCACCCGAAGGTCCATGAGACGTTTGCACGCGTGTCGGGGTACTGTGAGCAGAGCGACATTCACTCGCCGCAGGTCACGGTGCATGAGAGCCTGCTGTTCTCCGCGTGGCTGCGACTTCCCAGGGATATCGACAGAGACGTGCGGGAGGTGCGTGGGGAGGGAGTGTGGGTGTGGGAGTTGGGTGGGAATGGCAAATGGCTGAAGAGACAGATGAGAGGGGGATGAGGGAAGGATGAGTTAAGGATGAAAATGTGGAGAGGTGAATGAGAGAGTGAGGAGAGGAATAAGAGAGAAATGCAGAGAGGAGGAGATGGAGATGGTGGGGATGGGTGGGTATGCTCAGGGACGCGTTGGTGGATCGTTTAGACAATCGTGAATTGTCCCCCTCCCTCACGTCCTCACCCTAGTGTCTAAGCTCGTAGTTAGAACGGCAGCAGTATTAGAAAGAAACGCTTTAGCAGCAGGAACAACAGTGAATACAATGTGAGAAAAATGGTAGATCTGGAAAAACGCCTTGTCTCGAAAAGAGCCTCCTTGCGTAAACTAGTTTCGGCGGACGGGAAACGATCACATCACACCCCAGTCGCGCTTCGTCCCCCTCCCTCACCTCCTCACCCTCTCAACCCCCAATCCCCCTTAACCCCTCTCAAGGCGTATGGTTTCCATTGAGCAGACCTGTGTCTCCTTGCCCTTACCTCTCATTTGCTCCGTGTTGTCCCCCTGTAACCCCCACATCGCACCACACCACACCACACCACACCACACCACACCACACCACACGGCACTGCACCAGGAGTTTGTGGAGGAGGTGATGGAGCTGGTGGAGCTGGACGTGCTTAGGGGCGCGCTGGTGGGGCTGCCTGGGGTGAACGGGCTCAGCACGGAGCAGAGGAAGCGCCTCACCATCGGAGTCGAGCTCGTGGCCAACCCCTCCATCATCTTCATGGATGAACCCACCTCAGGTACCACCTGCTGCTGGATGACCACCTCAGGTACCACCTGCTGCTGGATGACCACCTCAGGTACCACCTGCTGCTGGATGACCACCTCAGGTACTGCCTGCCTGGTGTTGGACGTCTGGATGAAGCCTCCTCAGGTGCTGCTGGAAGCTCGTGGCCAACCCCTTTATCATTCGCCTGGATGAACCCACCTCAGGTACCGCCTGGATGAGCCCACCTCAGGTGGTGCCTGGATGAGCCCACCTCAGGTGATGCCTGGATGAGCCCACCTCAGGTGATGCCTCCTGCTGGACGAACCCGCTCCTCAGGTATCACCTGCTGCTGAATGCGTGGATGAAGCTTCCCCAGGTGCTGCTGGGAGCTTGTGGCCATCCCTCCGTCATCTTCATGGATGGACCCGCCTCAGGTAAGGCCTGGATGAACCCACCTCAGGTAAGGCCTGGATGAACCCACCTCAGGTAAGGCCTGGATGAACCCACCTCAGGTAAGGCCTGGATGAACCCACCTCAGGTAAGGCCTGGATGAACTCTTCGTTGCCCATCCCTGTTCAGCAGCATTCATGATGGATGCAGAGCGGCGCAGAACGGTGTAGAGGCGCGTGGAGCCCTCTAGCTGCCCACACTTCGTCTCCACCTCTCCTCCTGGCCCATCCGCCTCATCTCAGGTCTGAATGCAAGGGCAGCGGCCATGGGATGTGGCGGTTGTTGCAGCGCCTTGAGGATTCCTGTCCCTACCTTCAGGATTCCTGTCCCTACCTTCAGGATTCCTGTCCCTACCTTCAGGATTCCTGTCCCTACCTTCTTTTTCCCCTCACTCTACTCCCGCCCTCTTCCCCCTACTGGCCTCCTTCCGCTGCTACTCCCCTCCTCTCCCTCCTACTGCCCTTCTCCCCATCCCACATCTCTTCCTCTTTTTCCCTCCCCCCCTTCTTCAGGTATGCATGCGAGGCAGCAGTCATAGTGATGTGCAACGCAGTGGAGGCGCATCAGCCGCAAAAGCTCCCACTCCTCCCCTCCTCCCACCCACCCATACGTCAGGTTTGGATGTGAGGTCGGCAGTCATAGTGATGGAAGGGAAACGGTCTCGAAGTGCGACAGTCTCAAAAGCCTCAATTACTCTCCAGCCCCCCTCCCCCCATTTGATCTCCACCTTTCCCCCTCTTCAAGTCTGGATGTGAGGGGAGCAGCCATAGTGATGCACACAGTGTTACGCACCGCACGTCCCACTCCTCCCCTCCCTTCTCACTCCGCACCGCACCGCACCTCAAGACCTCCCATTCCTCTCTGCCTTCCCGCCGTGACGCCGTCAGGTCTGGATGCGAGGGCAGCAGCCATTGTGATGCGAACGGTGCGCAACACGGTGGATACGGGGCGCACTGTAGTGTGCACCATTCACCAGCCCTCCACCGACATCTTTGAAGCCTTTGACGAGGTGCGCTGTAATGAGTATAAGAAACGAGGTCCCTTGAGTCAAAATGGGCTGTAGTGTGCACCTTTCACCAGCTGTCCGCGGACGTCTTTGGGGCCTTTGACGAGGTGCGCTACAACAAGTATGATGATGGAAGGCCCTTCACTTGAATGAGACTGTCGAGTGCACTATTCACCAGCTGTCCATGACATGTTTGAGACCTTATGAAATGCGCTCTTTATACTGAGTATGAACGTGTTGGGCTGTGCAGTCAGTTGGACAGGTTTTCAGTGGGCATGCACGCACGCACCACTCACCACACACCATAGCAATGCGCACCATCCTAGGAGGCATGTTCAGAATTCGTAGAAACTCTCTTTCATCTGTGCCCATCTGGCCTGCATTCCAGGGTGGATGCTGGTGGCACGTGATATTTTCTCATCGCAGTTCACACACTGATATGCATCTCTGTTCCTGTACTGCAGCTGCTCTTAATGAAGACAGGAGGAGAGGTTATCTACATGGGGCCTTTGGGAGTCAACTCGAAGCATCTCATCAAATATCTTCAGGTATCGCCATTTCCCACCCCTCTGCCCCTTCTTCTCCCGTTGATTCTTTACTTTTCCCTTTCATGTGCTCTTTGCGTCATTGGTTCTACTGTGGGTTAGGTCTTAGACATAACATGGACCCCAACTCACCAAAAATCTCCAACCCACCATTTGTATATTTCCCCGATTCCCTTGTCATCCTTTGAACTCATCCTTGACATGCTTAAGAGATCCTTGAGCTTCCTGGAATCTGTTTCTTCCGTCATCCTTTTCTTCCCTCGCCCTCATCCTTTTCTTCCCTCGCCCTCCCTTCCCTGCCCATTACGTCTTACTCCCTGTCTTCCCCATGCGTCCTGCTTTAGGGTACCTGGAGCAAGCAAGGAAGTTTAGATCATCTCTACTTCCTTTCCCCCTCGCAACCCTCCATGCCAGGAGATACCCAGCCCCTCCTTAGGCCCTCTCTCCCCACCGCGCCAAGCCATACCCAGCCGGCATACAGCCCTGATGGTTGCATTGCAACCCCGCCACATGGATTCTGGAGGTCGCTTCACCTCTCTCCACCCCCCCTCCCACGACCCATCACCATGCCAAGCGACACACGGGCTGTGCCCTATCTCTGACGTTCACAGCCATTCTAACGCTCCTTTCCCTCCTCCCCACAACCGGCCACCACGCCAGGCCATACCCGGCGTGCAGCCCATCCCTGACGGCTACAACCCCGCCACGTGGGTGCTCGAGGTCACTGCAACAGGCACAACCGTTATGCCCCTCTCCCACCTTCCCCAACCCACCACGCCAGGCCGTACCCGGCGTGCAGCCCATCCCTGATGGTTACAACCCCGCCACGTGGATGCTTGAGGTCACGGCGCCCGCTGCTGCTGAGAGCATTGGGGCTGACTTTGCAGAGATCTTCAGGAATTCGCAGCTGTTCAGGTGAATATTCAGGGATTTACAGCTGTTCAGGTGATTATTCAGGAGCATGCGACTGTCCAGGTGAGTATGCTTCAAAGGCACAGCAGTTTGGGTGACAGACTAGGCATTCACAGCTGTTGAGGCTTCCGTAATCACTTCTCATCTTCTCCCCCATACTCTTCTCCCCACCCCCACACCCTCCCCTCTCCACCCCCCCTGCAGGGACAACGAGGCGCTGGTATCGTCGCTCTCCACGCCCCCGCCCGGCTCGGCGCCGCTGCACTTCCACTTTTCCCTACACCCCCCCCCCCCTCCCCCCTCTCACTAAAAGCCATCTCCCCCCCCTCCTTTTCGGGAACAACGAGGCATTGATTGCGTCGCTCTCCACGCCCCCGCCCGGCTCGGCGCCGCTGCACTTCCCCACGCGCTACTCCACCTCCCTCCTCACTCACTTCCTTGCCAACCTCTGAAAGCGTTCCCTCGTGTACTGGCGCGCTCCGTACTTCAGGTGGCCTTTGAGCCGACTCAAAAGCTCCTCATGTACTGGCGTGCGCCCGAATTCAACGCAGTGCAGCGCACTCGATCCATCCCCCCGCCTCATCCAGCCTCCGATCTCCTTCCTCCTCTTCCCCCCGCCCCTCCCCCCACCAACCCACCTGCAGGGACAACGAGGCACTGATAGCCTCTCTTTCCGCCCCGCCTCCCAACACAGCGCCTCTCCACTTCCCCACGCGCTACTCCACCTCCTTCCTCACGCAATTCCTTGCCAACTTCTGGAAGCGTGCTCTCATGTACTGGCGAGCCCCCGACTTCAACGCCGTCCGCTTCTTCCTCGCTGTCTGCATCTCCCTCCTCATGGGAGCTGTCATGTTCGGCTTCGGCCACTACCACTCGACGCAGCAGGAGGTGCTGAACGTGATGGGCGCGCTTTATGTCACGTCGCTGCTCATGGGGTGGAACGCTGCAACATCCCTCCAGCCCATGCTGTGTACCGAACGCACAGTGTTTTACAGGGAGCGAGCCGCTGGGTTGTACGGGTCGCTTCCGTACGCGCTAGCGCAGGGGGCGATCGAGACGCCATATGTGGTGGTGGAGACGTTGCTGTTCTGCGTGATCACCTACGCGCTGCTCGAGCTGGAGTGGACGGCCGGCAAGTTTTGGTTGTACTGCGCGTTCATCTGCCTGACGCTGCTGTGCTTTGCGAGCTTCGGCATGATGGCGGTGGCCATCACGCCCAATGAGCTGCTAGCTGTAGTGCTCAGCGGGTTCTTTGTGATGCTCTGGAACCTCATGTGCGGCTTCCTCATCCCCAAGCCGGTGAGTTGGCCATTCGCTTCAAGTGTTGCTCTGGCTTGATATAGATTCGACTATAAGGTCTCTTTGTGATGCTCTGGGACCTCACGTGCGGCTTCCTCATTCCCATTGGCCGTTCAACTGATGAGGCACCTTAACAATAGAATGCTGATGTGGCTTGAAGATCTAGTTGCAATCATGTGTGCATTCTGTGTAAGCACCAGTAGCATTTAACACATGTGTTTCAATCTATTATTCATGTGACTTGCTGCGTCTCTGTATTTATGGACTTGTGTGCTTGCTTGTTGCAATGCGTGTGTGTGCGAGCCTGTGACATTGGTTGCTTCCAGGAAATTCCCGTGTGGTGGAGCTGGTTTTATTACATCAACCCAATCGCCTGGTCACTCTACGGCCTCATCACCTCCCAGGTCCGTTTCACCACCTTTGAGGTTCGTGTGATCTCCTCTCAGGTCCGTGTCATCTCCTCTTGAGTCCGATTCATCTCCTCTCAGGTCCATTTCATCTCCTTCAAGGTGCGTTTCATCTCCTCTCAGGTCTCAGGTCCGTGTCACCCCCTCTCAGGTCCATTTCATCTCCTTCAAGGTGCGTTTCATCTCCTCTCAGGTCCGTGTCATCCCCTCTCAGGTCCGTGTCATATCCTCACAGGCCCGTTTCAACTCCTCCCAGGTCCGTTTCATCTTCTCCCAGGTTTATCTTATCTCCTCCCAGGTCCGTGTCATTCTCAGGTTTGTGTTTTCTCCTGTCAGCTGTGTCATCTCCTGTCAGGTCCGTATCATCTCCTGTCAGGTCCGTATCTTCTCCTGTCAGGTCCGTATCATCTCCTGTCAGGTCCGTATCATCTCCTGTCAGGTCCGTATCATCTCCTGTCAGGTCCGTATCATCTCCTGTCAGGTCCGTGTCATCTCCTGTCAGGTCCGTGTCATCTCCTGTCAGGTCCGTGTCATCTCCTCTCAGGTCTGTGTTGTCTTAACCTCCTAGGCGCATGCGCCCTCTATCTAAACCCATCTCCATGCGCCCCATTCTCCAGCTGGGGAGTGTTCAGGACCACCTCACAGCGCCAGGCTATCCAGTGAGGATCACAGTGGAGCAGTTTCTGGACCTGTGTGTGGGTTACCAGCAATATTGACCTTCAATAACCCTCCCTCCCTCACCTTTTTCCCCATTGCTTCATCCTCCTGCTCCCACTTCTCCAGCTGGGAAACGTTCAGGACTTGCTCACAATACCAGGCTACCCAGTGAAGGTCACGGTGCAGCAGTTTCTAGACCTGTATCTCGGTTACCAGGAGCAGTGGGTTGGTTACGCCAGCCTCATCCTCGTTGCCTTCTCCGCGCTCTTCTTTGTCGTCTTTGCCGTCGCACTCAAAGTCATCAACTTCCAAAAACGCTAGCAAGCAACCCTCATTTTGCGGCGCAGGACACCTAGTCTGTATGCAGCAGATACCGTCATCGCCCGGATATAAGACATATATGTCTTATCTCGTACACGGGCAAAAATGCTTGGGTTGATTGTATTTAGGACGGTTTAGGGTGTCTTTTAAGTCTTATAAATGGACAAAGAACCGTTTAGAAGATACCCCCTCGTTATACAATTGCCCCTAACCCCTACATTGGCTTAATTCGTTCACACAAATAGGTGTCTTATAATGAGGCTACCTCGTTTATAAGAGACACCCGGATAATAGACACCCCCTGTCTTCTATGCAAAACTGTCTTATTTCCGGGTGATGACGGTACTGATGACTTGAAGGCCCAGTAGGGTAGGGTAGGGTTTCCATCATATCAGGAAAAATAATCTTAATTGTTGGGAACAAATACTTTAAGCGCCTCTGTCGTGTCAGAACTCAAGACACAAGCGAAGCAGCTCAAATCGAAGCATCGCGAGTCAACCCTCGGAAGTTAACGTAACCGCTGGAGGTTACGAGAAAGTCAAAGGTCAGCGACCTTTGACCTGACGCAGCGCGACAGCAAGGACACACAACTGACTCGACATTGAGCAGTTGCCCGAGTCGCACTGTATCGAACCGCAACAGTAAAGTAGTCATAATGTCTCTTCATATTCTTTGTACTCATATATTTATTCCTGTATCTCTTTGCTTTAATCTGTCAGTAGAGCTATACTGTGAGATCCCCGATCGATCCTAGGGGGGGTTACAGGTGCGTTTGCCTGGGGGGTTATGGGCGCCCTGACCCGCTACTGAAACAAGCCCTTTTATCTCAATGGTCTAGTGGTTGGGATTCTGACATGGTATCAGAGCGGTCTCGGGTTCGATTCCCGGTGTATGCACATGTAGGCCGTTGCCGCTGTGCTTAGTCCTGGGCCTCCCAGTGTGGGGGGGTGTCAGTAGAGCTACACTGTGAGATCCCCGATCGATCCTAGGGGGGGTTACAGGCGCGTTTGCCTGGGGGGTTATGGGCGCACTGACCCGCTACTGAAACAAGCCCTTTTATCCCAATGGTCTAGTGGTTGGGATTCTGACATAATCAACTTACTTTGCCCTCACATACTAGCGCAAGGTGGTTCAAGGACTTTATTCAACGCTTCCGCGAGACTTTAACTCTACAAAGATCCTAGGGCTTTTCAGCCCAACATGGTATGAGAGCAGTTAGAGTTAAAAGTTACTATTTTTTCAACACTCAATACATCAAGAAGACATGTCTGCTAGAAAGGAGAGGAGCTCCTCCAACGGCTCTCCCGGTACTACCCTTACTCCACCTCCTGCCTCTGGCCTACAGACAGAGGAAGGGACAACGACGAGACCAGCAGCTGGGTCTACGGAAACACCCGCAAACCAAGGCGCGGGCTTCGATCCAAGCATGATGGAGAAATTCTTCTCCTTCATGTCCTTCTACGAGCAGCACCAGCAAGGAGTACCTGCGCAATCAAACAACAGCAACAACAACAACAACAACGTGACACCCATGAGTCTCGATGGCTCATCCTACGCACGCGGGAATCAACATCAACAACCTACCTTTGCTCCGTACGAGCCCCAGCGCGGCTCTGTCAGCTTCATGCCGCAACCACAACCTGCACCGGGACAAGAGAGAGCGCTGGACGCATTACAAGTTCAGTCGCAATTCGCGCATGTTCTAAAACTACAAACGACAAAGCCTTTTGACGGAAAGGACTTCTTTACCTGGTCGTTCGAATTCGAGCTGATGATGGAAGGAGCGCAGATCCTTGGCTTCTTCGACGGGTCCCTGCCATATCCAACAAACGGCACACAGTATGAGAAGCAACAGTACACCTATCAATCGATGATGGCGTACACAATACTACTGAGGAACATCACCCCGACCCAACAGCAGAACATAAGGACTTACCGAGGTTACGGTAACTCCGCGGAGCTCGCGTACAACCACTTGAAGAACCTGTATCAAGCAACAGACAGTGTAAACCAAAGTCGGTTAATGGCGCAGCTGACAACAATAGAAATGAAACCAGGCGAGAAGGGCATGGAGTATATCAGTCGCTGCCGCGAGCTGCGCGACAGGCTTCTTCGATGTGGGGGATCGATCTCAGAAGACGCCTTTGTCACGGTTGTCATCGGCGGTCTCGGCCCTCACTGGCGCTCCACTCGCGCCATACTACGAGCACACGGGAGAATCTCCGAAGCAGCACTCTGCGCCGAAATCCATGCCGAGCAGCAGGACATGGACCTGCAAGAAGAACGACATAAGAAGAAAACGTCAGTACTAGAGTTCGCGTTTCACACCCAGCGACGCTACAACAACAACAACAGTCGACAGCAACAACAACCAAAGCCAGTACCTCCGTTTTGCCACATCTGCAAGACTTCAGGGCATCCTCGTACGCACTGCCCGTATCGTCATCAATTGACAACACCACAGCGACAACTTCGACCTTCGAGCAGCCAAGTCACTTCAACACAAGCTACCCCGACACCTTCAGTCCAAGCTTCAACGACTCCAACAGGACAACCTGCACAAAAAGCAAGAAACATCGTCAACTGCATGGTAAAGATAACAGATTCCTGCACAACCGAGTCACCACCATACTACTCACCAGAAGAGCAACTCGACAACAGCACGCCTCGCCGCGAGTCCCTTCAACCAAACCCGACGTACGCCGCCATTGCTCAAAGCGAACCGTCCGGGAAAGATACATGGTTCTTGGACAGTTGCTGCGGACAGCACATGTGCTCTTCGGGACGCTTCGTCCAACGCGAACATCGACTTCAACGAGAGGTCGTCATCACAGTCGCCAACAACCAGAACCTGCGCACACGACGACAAGGAGTAGTACAACTTCAGTCACGAGAGACAAATGTTATACTGCATATGTCAAAGGTACTAATCGCGGAGGGACTCGGCTACAACTTACTGAGCGTCAGCCAGTTGATGGCGAAAGGCATTCACTTGGAAGCCGACAGTACCACCCAGGAGTTCAAATTATACCACGGGAAAGGCGGCCTCTACATCGGGAAGGCGGTCTTGAAGAACAACGTCTTCGTCCTAGACTTCGTCCCAGACCTGGGCACTGCAGACAGCGACGCCATCGTGAACTTCGCCGACTGGACACATCCTCCGGATCTTGATCCGGACTTCAGCCCGGAAGGCTTCTGGTACTCGCACACCATCCCTGAAGCAGAAAGAACACGCGCGTTAGCAACAATTCAACATTCGGCAGCAGCAGAAACGTCATCGGCAGCAGCAGAAACATCATCGGCAGCAGCAGAATCATCATCGGCAGCAGCAGAAACGTCATCGGCAGCAGCAGAAACATCATCGGCAGCAGCAGAATCATCATCGGCAGCAGCAGAAACGTCATCGGCAGCAGCAGAAACATCATCGGCAGCAGCAGAAACAACATCGGCAGCAGCAGAAACACCATCGGCAGCAGCAGAAACACCATCGCCAGCAGCAGAAACGTCATCGGCAGCAGCAGAAACATCATCGGCAGCAGCAGAAACATCATCGGCAGCAGCAGAGACAACATCGGCAACAGCAGCAGGACCAACGACACCAGTCCTCGTCAACGAAACACCACCAACACTCGCACAGCAGTTGAAACCAACTCAACGAGAAGTCCACAGAAGCGCAAACTTCGTTGCCAGCTTTTACTCCAACTCCGACGCGTATCGACGCTCACCCGGACACCGCGCCTCCGAAGACATATGGCACGCACGAATGGGACATCCAAGCAACACAGTGTTAAATAACACGATAAGAGCAGGAGTCCTAGACAAGGACTCATTATTACTACCCGACGGCAGAGAACTCCAACGGGCACGAGGGACTTGTCTTACCTGCCCCGAAGCCGACTTACCACATCGACCGTTCACTCCTCATCACAACCCGAGCGCACCCGCGTACACACCACTCGAGAAGGTGTACAGCGATATTCTCTTCAATCGAGAACCAGGACAAGTTACCTACAACTACACGATTACCTTCATCGACGCAGCCACTCGATACATCTGGCATCTAAATCTACCCAGCCGCGACATGGCACTCGCAGCGTTCGCCGCCTGGCTACGAGTAGCAGAAAGAGAGTCGGGAGCACAGCTGAAAAGCTTCCAGTCAGACGGAGGAGGAGAATACACCTCTCAGCGATTCAAGCAGTACCTGTCGGAAAGAGGAATCAAGCAACTCCTCTCCCTTCCCTACGCCCATCAGCAGCAAGGTGTTGCAGAACGAATGAACAGGACTCTGCAGAACAGCATGCGCAAACTGTTACGTGGCATGCGGCTACCCAACCACCAGTGGCCTGCAGCAATGGACCATGCTGTCATGCTGCACAACTTGATGTCGTCGTCCTCACTTCCGAACAACGCATCACCGCATCTGCTGTGGACAGGGAAACAGGGCAGCACAAAACTGTTAAGAATTTTCGGGTGCATGGTACAGTACCGACCCCCAGAGGCACGAGCGGGAAGATTTTCACAACGCGCACAGTGGGGACTACACCTCGGCATCGAAAAGAATTACAACGCGTGGAAAATCTTCGACGTCCACTCCAAGGAAACAGTAGCAGCACGTGATGTGATCTTCTACGAACGACTCACGCTTCAGACGTACCTCGCCAACTTGCACGAAAATCAGGACCCCATAGGTGGCTTTCGTGGTGACCGAGCCTTCGCCTCAGCAGCGGACGAAGCTGACTGGGACGAGCAGAACGTCGACAACGCATCAGAAGAAGCCGGACCTCTCCCGTTCTGCTCCGTCAACGTCCCCATGGACGAAGAAAATCCTCGCGAAAGCGCCAACGCCGAAGTCTTCTACCACTTCGCCGACAATGGTTACGTAACACCTGCGACAGTCAACACCAACGAAGCAGAAAGAATAGGACCGAATTTCATAACCGACCCAGAAGCGGGAGATGAAGCAGCTTATCCCGAGGACACAACACTCCCCCGTTACTCAC